ACTTTCGGTGAAGTAACGTAGAAGGGAAAAAAATAAAACATAATAAAATAAAATTCTCACGACGTTTCGGCCACAACGCAAGCAGCTGTCCTCCTGGTGAAAACCAGGTCTGTCGAGGCGACAGTCTGAATGAAACAGCACACGAGTTTGAGCATATATACGCTGGGCGCCTTGACCAAAGGAATTTGCATATCAAGAGGAATTTAGCATATTTATGGGAAATGCAGGAATGTGATTAGTACTACCATATGCATGTGCATTATGCAGGATTAACAGCATCAACAGCATCAATGATGCTGTTAATCCTGCATAATGCACATGCATATGTAGTACTAATCACATTCCTGCATTTCCCATAAATATGCTAAATTCCTCTTGATATGTACAATTACTTTGTCAAGGCGCCCAGCTTATATATATGCACCAAGCTCGTGTGCTGTTTCATTCAGACTCTGTCGCCTCGACAGACCTGGCTTTCACCTGAGGGACGGCTGCTTGTGTTGTGGCCGAAAACGTCGTGAGAATTATTTTATTTGTGTTTATTTTGTATTGTTTTTATTACTTCCCTCTACGTGACTTTACCGAAAGAACAAGAAGAATATATAAATTCGCTTCAGCAGTACGTCCTCTGTCACCCGTAAAACCAAAGAGAGTTATCCACGCCAAAACAGTCGTAAATTTCAGCGCTCGGATAATTTCTTCCATTCACAACGACAGATTGACGATGACGAATGGCGTGCAATCCCCACCGTTTCTATTTACGCCTCGTTTATAACACGACCCACCGTCGCGCTCTCTGGGATATACTCCCATGCACACATTCTAGATTTGAAGCTTTCGTGACTGCAAGGATTCATATTCTTAGGTTTTTTTCCGGTAAAGTCACGTAGGCAAATACATTAAAATAAATACAAAGTAAATAAAATTCACGACGTTTCCGGGAAGCTTGTGTTGCTCCGAACGTCGTGAATTTATTTACTTTATTAATTTTAATGTTTACCTACGTTGACTTTACCGAAAAAAACCTAAGAATATGAATCCATGTACACATATTTAGTTGTGGCTCGCAGGATGGCAGGTGAGGCGGTGGCCACCGGGTAACATTGTTGTCTCCAGCTCAATCCACACCTCTCAAGAACAACTGCCTGGAATTTTGAGACGTTTTTTGCGGATTGGTGCTTCTGTTGCTCATCCTTCCGTGTTGCAAGCGGATTGAGAGCTTAACGTTATTTCTTCAAGTGAATAGCAGTAAGTATAATGCACGTGCGCGTGTGCACGCGTGTGTAACCATCGACCATCGCGCACTTCCAGATGCGCTTCTGCGGCCGTCTGGAACGCTCTTCCGTCCGATATTAGGAAGCCACTGGAGCTGTGCGCTTGTAAATCTAGATCGAAAACTAACTGAAACTGCCTTTCATGTTTAGCTTGTTGTCATTTCCCAGCACCTCCGATTATCACGGTGAGCTATGTACAGTGCGAAAGAAGTTCAACATACGTGCATATACTACATATATGTGCATGTTACATCAGCGCTGGGGAGACAAAGGCGGCCGGATGTGGTGTTTCCCACCCACCCCTTCCTTATGCGCCTTCATAGGTGCTCGCAAACAGCACTTTCCCCAAGTCTCCTCAAGGCTAAACGAGGAATTTGATTTTGTATGGTACACAGAGGAGAGACAAAGGCGGTCGGAGATGCTGTAGGCCAAGACCAGCGCTCCGTCTGTTGAGCCAGCCTTCACATTTGCTGTTGTGTGTAAAGTGTGTTTGTGTGAGTGGGTGCGTGGCACAATGGGGAACGCAAGCGGTGCATCTGCCAGTCATCTCAGTCAATCCGATTGCATCTGGGTCTGTCCCGTGACCTCCTGCCAGCAGTGAGCCTTCCACCACTCCACGTGGCCTCAAAGTGCACCTAGCCTGGCACAAGCGTCGTGGTGACGTCACTGCCACGTGTTGTAGTTCTCGTGTGCGTTGCGTGTTGACTGGCGTAAGCGGTAGGGAGTGCTGAGCGCACTGCGCTATTAACCCGACGACCCGAGACCCATTACCGCTCTCGACCAATAACAGTGGCGAAAATGTGAATCGGTCTTGGGCCTCCCCTAGGTCGACTCAGCCCTTAAAGTGAGTACTGTACCTGATTCGGAACGCAAACAGCACTGGGGGAGTCGTGCGGGCCACCCACCCCATTGTGCGCCGTTCCGGCCTTATTGGGTACTCGCTAACGGCACTTGCCCCAACAGTCTGTGGCAGGCTACACGGTGGAGCTTTGTCTTTGGACAGGTGTGAAGACAGATGCTTGCATTCGTGAGTGTGTGAGCCATTCCGTTGTTTCAATCGGCACTTCCTCATAATTGTGAGCAGACATCGATATGGCCACGTGTTTTGAAAAAAAAACACCAGGCGTGTCGCGCACTCATTATGCATCGAATCGCTTGTTCGAGGATCAATTAATTTTCCAATCGTACATGTTGTCTGTAATGAGTTCGTGTGACTCTTGCAAACCGCTGGAAGCCGCTACAACAAGGGCTCGGCAACCAAATAACAATGAGACATGTTTTCGAATCGGTAATCAACAAAATAACTCGACTTCAAGAGCCACAATGCCTGTGAACGTGAGACGGCCCTTAATAATTACCGGCTCAAAGCAGTCATTCAAGAGCCGCATGCGGCTTCGAAACCGCACGTCGCCAGCCCCATTCACTACAAGAAGCACAGAATAAGCACAGCAATCTCTTGTGCCATCAAGCCATTATCTGTTAGATCGTCCCCTCTTTCGGGTTCCTTCTATTGTACACGCTTTTATTGAACTCACTCTGTCTGTTGTTGTCGTCGTTGTTGCTGTTGTCGTTGTCGTATCCTCAAATCTTGTAACTCAATTTTAACCCACTTCCCAATGTGGTATCGACTGCAAACTTGGTATACTTATGTCATACTGATGACAATACTATTTTATCATTTAAAAAAACATATTTTTATATGTTATGTTTCGGCTCGGGTCTAATTGTCCACGCTCAAATGGCGTTGGCTGTAAATCACTACGGCCCCTTACGTTATGGCAAGCTTCAGGGCCACTTCCTGGAGTCGTGGAGTTCTTCCATTACTAGTAGGGTACATTTCATTCAAGCGTGTTTAAAAAAAGTATTTAAAATATTACTTATTTCCAATCAACACACTTTTAACGTTCTTGTTAGTTGTCTACCTACGTAAAATGTGTCCTTTTGACCACTGCCTGTGTCCGGTAGTTTTTTTTACATCTACGTTGGTCACTCTTTGGGTCCAGCTTAGATGCAGTATCCTTCTGTAGCAATACATTTAATGCCAATATCTCTTTCAGTCTTTTCCAATGTCCAAGTCTCGCAGACATACAAAGCTGTACTGAACACGCCCGTTCTTAAGATGTTCACTTTCGCGTTATCGCGGATTTTCTCGCTTCTCCAGAAGTTATTGAATCTTGCTCCTTTTGCCTTTGTCATCCTCGCTCTTGTGTCTTCCGTGCAGTCGTTGTCCCATGTCAGTAGACTTCTCAAGAATACAAATTCCTTTAAATTCACAATCTCGCTGCTTTATAGTATTACTTGTTTCCAGAGGTGGGACAAAGTAATTGTTATGCAAGTCCAAGTCGAGTCTGAAGTCATCAAATTCATGACTCGAGTCTGACTCGAGTCCAAGTCACATGACTCGAGTCCACACCTCAGAGGTGGGACAAAGTAATTGTTATGCAAGTCCAAGTCGAGTCTGAAGTCATCAAATTCATGACTCGAGTCTGACTCGAGTCCAAGTCACATGACTCGAGTCCCACCTCGGTGGGACAAAGTCATTGTATGCAAGTCCAAGTCGAGTCTGAAGTCATCAAATCTGACTCGAGTCTG